CCACCGCCGCCCCGAGCTCGTCCACACCGCCGGCCTGCTCCACCGCGGGCCATCCAAGGTGAGCTCTCCTACTCCTCCTCCCTCTGTCTCCACACCGCCGGCCTCCACACCGCCGGCCTCCTCCACAGCGAGCTCCGGCCGGCCCTGTTTCCTGTATTTTTGTTACAGAGCAACACTACATTTTTTGTTTTGTGTTGTGTAGATGAATGCGTTGCCCGATGATTCCGGTTGGTCGTCATCGGACGATTCGGACTTGCTTCAAGACGATGACGTCGAGATGATGGGCCTCCTCCTCGACGTGCAAGAGTTTGAAGACCGCGTGAAGCTAATGGATCAGAGGAGAGGGTCGAAGATGGGGCGAGTCACCATCTACCGGAACCGCTGTCTCGGACACGAACATTTGATGCGAGACTACTTCGCGGAGGTACCGACATGCCCACCTCGCCTATTCCGGAGAAGGTACCGAATGCGCTGTAGTTTGTTTGTGAAAATTGTCACCGATTGTGAGGCCGCCTCAGATTACTTCAAGCGTCGTAGATCCTCCGCCGGTATCATGGGGTTTAGTGCGTGCCAAAAGATATCGGCTGCGATGCAGGTGCTCGCCTATGGCATACCCGCGGACTATACGGACGAGTATCTTCGCATTGGACAAGATACAACCACGGCGTCCGTTCATAGGTTTGCAAAATTGGTCATCCGGTTGTATGGTGATGAGTATCTTAGGGCACCCAATGAGGAAGATACAAAGAGATTGATGGAGATGAATGGAAAAGGGGGATGGCCGGGGATGCTTGGTAGTCTTGATTGCATGCATTGGAAATGGAAAAATTGTCCAAAGGCATGGCAAGGAATGTATTGCGGTAAAAGCCGTGATGCAACCATTGTGCTTGAGGCCATGGCATCGGAGGACACATGGATTTGGCATGCATTTTTTGGTTTGCCGGGAACACTCAATGATATAATGTGCTCAATAGATCTCCTTTGTTCAAAAGACCAGTTTCTGGGGATGCTCCAACTTGCAACTACAAAATAATGGACAATGAGTACTCAATGGGATACTATCTCACCGATGGAATTTACCCCGATTGGGCAACTCTTGTGAAGTCCATCAAGGAGAAAAATGGGGTGCCCTTAACCAGAAAAGAGGCTCATTTCACCAAGGCACAAGAGGCAGCCCGCAAGGATATTGATAGAGCTTTCGGTGTTTTGCAAGCAAGATTTTCCATAGTTCGGGGTCCAGCTCGTTTTTGGGACGAAAAAAACCTTGGAGAACATCGTGAAATGTTGTGTGATTCTACACAACATGATCATCGAGGATGAGAGAGAGTTAAAACTGCCTTGTTTCTATGACAATGTTGGTACTCGTGTGCAATCGGAAAGAAACCCTTGTCGCGTACAAGCTTTTCTTGAAGCACATCGTCAGATTGAGGATGCAAACACTCATGGTCAGCTCCGAGATGATCTAGTAGAGCACCAGTGGCAGTTGGCTGGGCGACACCAAGGCCCATGATCTACCTTTGTTTACTTTTCTACGTCCTATTTGATTCGAACAATTATTATAATTTGCTTCAAAACATTGTTGTAATAAGTTGAATGGCTATTATGTGTTTCAAAGTACTATTCGGTGTTATTGAGATGATGAAAATTGTGATATGTCAAATGACAGTTTTAGGGGTTGGGGTAAGGGTTGGGTTTGAGGGTTCTAGTCTTTGCCCCTATTTTTCAACCCTTAAAAGTGTCAAAAATGGTCAATTCTCAACCCTTAAAACTAGTTTTAGATTTAAGGGTTTGAGGGCTCTACTAGACATGCTCTAAGCGTGGAGGTGCATCGCACCAATGATATTCGGGCACTTGTGGTGTTGGTCATGTGGGCCTTGTGGAAGCATGGCAATTATATTGCCTTTGATGGAGTCACACCATCCATATCTCAGGTGGCCAAGGTGTTCGAGCGTGCGGGCAGGAGCTGGAGACAAGCCGGGCTTCTGAAAGGGGACCTGGATGCCTTCTTTGGCGTATTGACAAGTTGGGCTACCGAGACAAGTTAGAATAGACTTAGCGGTCGAGGTGGAGTTGTGTAATCTTACATGCAATATGTAAACACAACAAGGTGGACGGGTGTTCTTTCCCACTCCCCTCTCAAATATATGATACACACACTCGTGTGTATTCGAGAAAAAAAAACTTGTTTTTGCGAGGAAAACTTTCAGTCTATTCAAACTGACATGACAACACAAGGAGCATGAAAAATGACAAAAAAAATTCTCGTGACATGACAAACACATGAGCGAGTCGGTAATTCATCGTGTTAAGGCTCCACAGGACCATCATACCAGCACAACAACCACCGTCAATGAAGAGAAGCGTAGATAGGAAGAATCCAACTAGTAGACACAAGAACGTAGACTGGATCCATGGAGATCCAGCTAAGACCAACACTAACTGAATCCCACAAGATTTCCTAGAGACACACCTCCACACACTCTCCGACGACCATACACGCACCTCCAGGAAGGGGCTAGGTGGGAGGACCTTATTTCATCATCAAGAAGCTGCTGCCGCCTGACCTTCCTGAGCATGACACAAACCCTAATCAACCTAAAAAAGCCTAAAAGCATAGTAGGAACCCTCTCGCAGGCAAGGGTTGAGGTCTGATAACCCACAAGTGTAGGGGATCGCAACAACTTTCGAGGGTAGAGTATTCAACCCAAATTTATTGATTCGACACAAGGGGAGCCAAAGAATATTCTTAAGTATTAGCAGTTGAGTTGTCAATTCAACCACACCTGGATAACTTAGTATCCGCAGCAAAGTATTTATTAGCAAAGTAGTATGATAGTAATGGTAACAATGGCAAAAGTAAGCAGTTTTGTAGTAGTTGTAACAGTAGCAGCGGAAAAGTAAATAAGCAAAGCACAATATGTGAAAAGCTCGTAGGCATTGGATCAGTGATGGATAATTATGTCGGATGCGATTCCTCATGTAATAGCTATAACATAGGGTGGCACAGAACTAGCTCCAGTTCATCAATGTAATGTAGGCATGTATTCCAAATATAGTCATACGTGCTTATAGAAAAGAACTTGCATGACATCTTTTGTGCTACCCTCCCGTGGTAGCGGGGTCCTAGTGGAAACTAAGGGATATTAAGGCATCCTTTTAATAGAGAACCGGAACAAAGCATTAACACATAGTGAATACATGAACTCCTCAAACTATGGTCATCACCGAGAAGTATCACAATTATTGTCACTTCGGGGTTGTCGGATTATAACACATAATAGGTGACTATAGACTTGCAAGATAGGATCAAGAACTCACATATATTCATGAAAACATAATAGGTTCAGATCTGAAATCATGGCACTCGGGCCCTAGTGACAAGCATTAAGCATAGCAAAGTCATAGCAACATCAATCTCAGAACACAGTGGATACTAGGGATCAAATCCTAACAAAACTAACTTGATTACATGGTAAATCTCATCCAACCCATCACCGTCCAGCAAGCCTGCGATGGAATTACTCATGCATAGCGGTGAGGATCATGAAATTGGTGA